CAGGACTGGGGACTGCTTTGCCTAATCATATCGCTGCATCCAAATCATCTGTGTACATTTCTAATTACATGGTGGCATGCGGTGTCCTTGAGCACAGTGGCAGGCCTCCATTTCATCACCGCGCTCCGTCTATCCCCGCCCACTTGCCTCATTTTCYCTCTCCCTCCCTCTCTTGCAAATCCTTATTTATTTATTCCCATCAGCTTTATCTTTGTTGTGGCTTCGCTCGGCTGTGTTCTGAGCAGCAGCACTCATTTGCCCACCGATCTCTGTCCTTTGAACTCAGCATTGTTGGGGTAAAGCCGACTGTCTGGGACTCTGGCATCATCTTTTATGATCTTTTTTTTTTGTCTGGCTCCAATTTGCAAGGGGTTCACATCCATTCCCTCATATATGGCAAGAAGGAACAGCTATGGGTGAAGGACAACAGAAACAAATATTGTTGCGGTTGTGTAGCTGTGGTTTAAAGTGTAAAGCAAAGATAAAACTTACTAGGCTGCTGTGTGAGAGTTCTTTGCAAAGCTCTCTCAGATTGTAGGTCTACTTCATGAAACAACAGTACTCAGTGGATGAAAAAATATTTTTCAATAGTTTCTCATTCTTTTTGTGTACATTCGATTGGATGTAGACCCTGAACATTTCTGAGCTCTGGGGTTAGATGACCTTCCTTCCATCCCTTTTTTTTACTCTTCACTGCGAGGCCTTGTCTTTTCTTCTCGTCCCCAGAGTGAACCTTGTTACTGAAGTCAAGAGATGTAGAAAACACGTTTTTTTTTGTAGCTGACAAAAGGCTGATGTGAAGGTGAAGAGAAGGGACAACCTTTTACATGTTACTGTCATGTCCTTTCAGGAACAACAATTAACTTTGCGGCCTTGTGCGAGAGTTTTTAAAGGTCTGCTCGGCAGCTGTACTGTACAATTTCATCAGTCACACAAAAAAAAGCTGTTACAGAAAAAAAAAAAACCCACTTTGAATTCCTTTGTTGTGATTTTCCCCAAATATATTTCCTTTCTAAAGGCAGTTTGGTGTGTGCAGATTTATCTTGCCTTCCCCATTATGTTCCTATCAAATGCTAGTTGTCACAGTCATTGTTTAATGACAGCCAGATCWGAAAGGCCGCAGTAATTGCTTCCACTGAATGTCTCTAAAATATGACTTTCTTTGCATTGTAGACCACCAGCAGTAACATCTGTGTGCAGCTGCCTGAAGGCAAGTTCCTGAGATATTAGCTCTCCACTCTCAGAACTGTTAGTYACACTGACAGACACCTGAGGCGATATAAAATGTCCCTCAAAGCCATGAAAGAGGGAGCCGGTCTKCCTCTCTCTCTGCTTTCAAACCTCTGAGCGAGGCGCAAAGAGATACAGCGAGGAGAGGAGAGTGACTTTCTAAAGCCGCACTTATACCCCTCCACATATGGGGGCCATACCTCGGAGTCGACATGAAGGGAGAACCCATATAGCTACACGGTCCAGTATCATAAATAACACAAGACTTCTCCTCTCCCTTCTCAGTCTCCTTCACTTCACTGCCGGAGTGTTTCATATGGTAACTAGGTGTTCACCGTGTGGCCACACTGTTGCCCATCTTTCAAGTGCCTCAGAGGAGGAAACCTTGAGGTAGAGGAATAGAAGGAATTTTTGATGAAAAAATACATTATTCTGTTCTTTTTTTCCCCAATCTCAACCACCCTTTTTTTTCTCTCTGCCACTTACTGTGGAAGAAGAGTATTTATTACATAAACGGTAAGAAAAGCAGAGCAGAGCTCAGTGGGAGGAAGAGGTAATAATAGAGAGAGAGAGAGAGAGAGAATAAGAGAGAGAGAGAGAGAGAGAGAGAGAGAGAGAGAGAGAGAGAGAGAGTGGCTCTCTCTTTTACCTGTTGGTAAATACTTTTTTATTTTAAGAAATGATTTCTGAATACGTTATGTAATTGGCCTCGAGTTGAGAAAATTGTTTGCAATTTTTTTTGATCAAGGGATGTTCATATTTTACTGATGAAATCGGTTAAAACAAAAGTTGTGTTGGAAAATGATGCCTCCCACTGCAAAAACTGTCCATCTAACCAAGTTTTAAAATCTTATTTCCCATCCAAAAAGTATTTTTGATCTTGTTTTGAGACTCATTTACTAAACAAGAACTGATTGTGTAAGAAGAATAATCTTGTTTTCTGAATGTGTAAGATTATTTGTCTTGTTAGTCTGAAAATTTGATTCAAATTAAGTCAAAAACTTTTGCCAATTGAGTAAGAATATTTTAAGTCTTGAAATAAGAAAAAAAGAGTCAAATCAAGTATTTCAAGGATCTTACCAAGTAAAATTTTCTTACTCCATTGGCAGACATTTTTGACTCAATTTGAGTCAAATTTTCAGGCTAACAAGACAAATAATCTTACACGTTCTGAAAACAAGAATCAGTTCTTGCTTAGTAAAACAGTCTCAAAACAAGATCAAAAAGACTTTTTGGCTGGATATAAGATTTTAAAACTTGGTTAGGTGGACATTTTTTTGCAGCGTGGCAGCTTTTTCAGTTGGTTGTTACATCTGTAATAGATAAAATATTAGAGGAACTGTATCATATAAGCCCTCCAAAAAGAACACATGCTCAAAAAAACATCACTTTGCCAAAAAAAAATGTCATCCTGTATAATCCCCTATTTCTACATGATGTGAAATCTTCAGAATCCTGAGTACATTATTCATCTGCTCCTATTATTTCCATAATTGCCAGCATTGTCGAGGTGTTTGTAATGTCATTAATAACAAGCGTTGCCGTATAATACGCGTAATGTTATTTATCTGTTGGCAGATAGCTTGATGCTGCTAATCCTCATTCATTTGCTGTGGATCAATGCAAATCCGCTAGTGTGAGTGAATCCCACCCTCCTTCCCCCTTTCCAGAGCTGATGGTTCCTAATGTATTTTCCCACCATTAACCAGCCATAATCCCTGCTAATCATCACTAATCCACATCTTCTGTGTGTCACAATACTTCCCTGATGAAGGAGGCAGTGCTGCTCGCCGGTGCTGAGGCTGGCTCTCCTCCGGAGGAGCTGCCGAGGGCCCACTCAGTGCAAGAGAGCAGACTGCTGCGAGGAGGAGAGAGGAGAGAATGAAATCTGGCGTTTTGTGGGTTAAGTTGCTGCTTTTTTGCTATTTTTCTGATGAGTTCGGCTCATGTTTTATTGATTTGACTGCATAATGGAGCTTGTGTCTCTTCATAGGGCGCAGGATAAAAACTGCATGTCATCAAGAAATAACTGTTGGTGTGAGTCACCGTCGTTTCGCTTATCTTGGTCAGCTGTGGAGCCCCTCGCTCTCTCTGGGCTCTCGTGGCCCGCTMTTTATTTCAACCTGAAGCTCTCAGGTGTTTGAGGGCCTCTTTTTCATTTCTGTCACCTTTAATCACCCCAATCAGTTGCCACTTTTATGTCGGTCAGTTAATGTGTCATTGTCTGAGCGAGGTAAGAAATACTTCTGATGCAAACACAGCGAGTCCAGAAAAGAAGAAGAGAAACTGATGAGATTCCTCTTGTGATTCTGTGCTCAAAGTTTCAGCAGGCAGAGGAGGAAGAGGAGGCCGGCTTTGAGAAGATGATATTGGCAACRTGAGGAGGAAGAAGCTCTTTTTTTTCAAAGATCTCTGCTGTATGATGTTAGATGACCAGAACTTTTACACAAACTCGTACCGTCTTATTTTCTGAGGCAATTTCGTCTTGAAAATGAGCCAAAGTCATGCGAAACACATGGAGGACATTGCTTCTGTAATTTGTAAAGACYCCAGGAAAATTTCTGTCCATAATTGAGGAGGTGAAGAGAACCAGGAAAGTTTTGGATGATCTTAACATAATTTATTTTTGGCCTGTTTCTTCAGTTGTTTAATCTCACCTACAGTTTGTCAAGTTATTAGAATTTTTCAGTGAAGTACATATTTAAATAAACAAATAAAGTGCCTCCAAACATGTTGTTATGATGCTGTCGTTCATGTCTAACTTTGAGCCACAGTTTTCACGTTGCAGMACCTCAGTTTGACCAGCAGGTGGCGCGTAAACCTCACTGTAATCCCGRCTGTTTGGTTGCACCTTAATGTGGCCTTTTCTCCAACACTTGGACCACCTCAGCCGCTGGAAGGAAAAAAATAAATAAAGAAAAATAAAAATCACTTTCTTTAATAGATGCTTCACAGCCGCGTAAAAAGCTCCTTTATGCTTTAGTACGTCTCACTTTTTAACGTTAGTTGTTTCACTCACAAAAAACGCACACATTTATAGCTGAGATTAAACTAAATTACGGACATTAAAACTGAATAATCGCTGGCTGGTTTTGCTTCGTGAACACATAAATATTCACATTTAWATTAATAAAAGTCCAGAAAAATATGTTTCCAAAAAAGTTTTTAAAAGGAATTTGAATCTCACTTCCAATTTTCCGTGGCATTTTCTGCTCTGATATTTTCCTTTTATTGCAGAGGTTTGAAAACTTACCAAAAAAATAAAGCATCAAAAAAATTCACATTTTGATTTATTTCACGTTTCTTTATTAAACACAAGGAACAGCCTATATAGTGCGGTAATAAACCTTAACTTAATTTTTTAGCCCTAAATAAAAAAAAGACAATCTGTTTGACATCAATACATCAGGACCAGCTGTGAGTTTTATAAAATCTTTGAGTCATGCTTGTTAGTTTTCTGCAGACGGTTAAATATATAGAAGCTCAGAGCCGTTATGGCCTGCATGAAGCAGAGGCCTAACACAACACATCAAGTCATTTCTGCAATAATGCAATGAAAGATTTTATGTCACAGTTTGTCCTAACTCTTAACATCTTTAGGGCCTTTCCTTGATGCGACATGTCCTTTTTTTTTGCACAACTTTTTATCTCTATGGGCGGATTATTTGCCTGCAGGCACTTCAGCATCAGATCAAAGATTCCTCACAATTTTTCCTCTTTAAATGCCAAACATATGTCAAGAAGTGATTTATATGAAGGGAAAGAGCTCAGACAGGAATATCAGAATGTTTTATTTTGGAGACTTGAAACGAATACATATTTAGATAAATAATAATAAAAGAAAGAAGAAAAAAGGACATAATTGTGTGTTATTATTAATATTGCACAATTTCATACACAGAGATGTGAGGAGCGTCACACAGTGTGAAGTTAGCAGGGCATGCCTGAGGTTCAACACTGATGTCAGCCCCTCAAACAGAACCTGTCTTGTTACATAACCAATGGGTTAACCGGATCTGTGCGCGCGCCCTGCGCTGCCCGGCGCGCAAAACTGCGCTCAACTTTCTGCTCATGTTCACCTTTGTTTACCTGCTGCAGCTCCAAGAAACAAAAACAAAAACTGGAAGGTTCGGATCTGAATGAAGACAACAGGCCATTATTTGTATATATGTTTTATGTAAGTAATAAAATATTACTATAACATAAATATAAAGGTGACTTCGCAGTCAACATGAAGCAGTCAACGTACAAAACAAAGTAGTAAACAAAAAAAAAAAGAAAACAAAAACATACTTATATCCACTGCAACAAAATTATTGA